CCCGGCGCTCGGGCCCGCACCACCCGAGGGCATCTGTTGGAAGAGACCATTTATACCGCCCATTTTCTTCACCACCTGGGCGAACTTGGTGTGTTGTGTGAGCAGTTGTTTCACCTCACCCTGGCTAACGCCAGCGCCCCGAGCAACGCGTTGGATACGTGAGGGTTGACGGTTGAAGAGGCGAGAGCCCTCATCGGAGTCCAGTTCCACGTCGTTCATACTGTCCATTATGGTCATCAGGCGTTTCAGGCGACGATGGCTTTCCTAAAATCGCGAGCAGATGGAAAAAAAACAGGGGGGGGTCAAAATTGTGTCGTCACTGCAAAAACAAACCAGAGAAGCGTGGCAAAGCAAACAGCCCTCCGTTGCTGCCGGCAGGTTTTGAAATAGAACCACCCCTTCCCCCCTTCACAAATGGCAACCTTCGCGTATACAGACACAAATACGCATGAAAGAAAATCCTCGGAAAAGCTAGTTGTACTCGTGAATTGTCGAACAGGTATCGCTTGTTTGTCGTCAGACTAAAAGAAAAGTGAGGGCTGGGAATGTCGCACTAGAGGTTCTGGGGGCAGAGGTTACAAAGAACGGGGTGGGATTATACGGGAGGGTTATGGTGACGTGACTCCTGTGGCGATAGGTTGTGCTGCTGAGGAGAGGGAGGTATTGGACCACGTGTCGATTTTCCGAAGATCTTCTTTCTTCTGATCATATCATCTCGGAATGCAACTTAGTTCACTTATCCAACAGATACGCATGTCTGCCGAAGATAAATTTGTTTTTTTATCCTCCTATATGTGCATTATGAGAATTGCGATAAGGGCTGAGTTCAAGCAATCAGTCCTATGCATCGTTCGTCGGTTATTCGCACTTGCTCGTGAAAAAAGAAACATTTTTGCCGAAAGCTTTGATTACTCTTTCTCCCCACCCTAAGTGAACCGGAAAACTGTAGCATAAGACTGTCTACCTAAAATTTTTTCGCTGAAAAATAAAATATGTTTGAATACGTTTCCGATTTCTTATTCACGGGGAACTTGCAAACAAGGAGGTTCAACGAAGGAGGCGGTAAGGGTCGATGGCTGATGCCGAAGAGGCCACATTCATAACGACTGATTTCCAGTAGAGGAGAATATGCGAATTCCAGGAAGCAGTTCAGAAGAAGAAGATACGATCACTGGAACAAGAGTTTTATTTTCCTGAAGTTTCGGAGTCTGTCGATAATCTTTAATCATATAGGTAATCGTAGGAAAGAAGAAGACATGCACATGGCGCAGCAACAACTCTGACGACAGCGGGCATAATAGTCACGCAATTATCAAGCCCTCATCTGACGCTGACAAGCAAACTGTGGCAAGTAATGAGCCATCACCGCACAAATTT